GGGTAAAGCGACCTATAGATTATGCAATTTTCTTTTCTTTCATCATAGGTGGCAGGAAAGAAAGTTGCTCGATTTCCCCATCAACACAGTCAGTGTTGGGGAAAATCCTCCTACAGCGCTATTGTGTTCTGCTGGTGGGAAGTCTTCTCCACCAGCAGAACACAATGATCACTGCTGGCGGCTATAACCGCTGGCAGTGGTTGCATGAAAAAGATCCAACAGGCTAGCCGATTGATGGATCGACTTCAGTACAACCAACCTGCCCATACATAGATCGAATCTCGACTGGTCCCTGCTAATCTGGCCGAGAATCAATGCATCTTATGGCCGTCTTTAGTGTGAATGAGCCTTTAAAAAAAAAAAAATGTAATTGCTGACAATATCTTCAAATTGAATAACGTCAGGCCTCCTAACACTCTTGTCTTTAATTGCATTGAAACTGTACTGTCTCCCTTCAGAGCTGCGCAAACTGTTGGCGCTATATAAATCCTGTATAGAAAATAAAAAAAAATGAATAGTGCAAAGCTAATATGAAAAGTAACTTTTATGGTTTCAAATGACATGACAAGGACCCTCTAGCTATGACAGGCCTAGCGTATGATATTTTACATTTCTCTACGTCAGACAGTGAAATACGGGACAGCATTTGGTCAGGGTGCTTTCCTGGAAATTTTGTGAGCTGCTGAGAGATGGGATGAAGGAAGTCTTTAAATAGGCAGATGTGATTTACAGAAGTCTTAAGAGAAGAATTAAATGCAGAAAGGGGATGGGCAAAGGATAAGGGGATTACAGGGGTCTCAGACACTTAAACTCTGAGAAGAGAGCAACACCCCTGCCTTGACGATTGGTCCTTTCTAGTAGGTTTGAAGAACTATTAAACATCTCATAGAGCTAGGAGTCAGCAGAGTCCAGGTCATCAGACTGGGGTAGGTGTTCACTCATCTGTGGTACCCAACGCAGTGCCAGGCAGAATGAATTGAAGCTGTGAGCTAGCAATCTATTTCAAACATCAAAGCAGTATAGGAAATGTAACACATTCTCTTGTAGCTTGCGAGTCAGGTTTAAATATATATATTAGCTGCCCCATTATTTCATGATGTGTTTTACAGACAGTTAAATAATTAATGCACTGAAGTCTATTTATCTGTAATATCACTTTTATTGTTAAATGCTATTTTTTCCTTGTACTGTGACAGCTTAATTTTTGTTATGAGATGTGCTTGTTCCCATAAAATGTATTGGGAATATGGTTAACATTACTAAAACCTATCCATTGAGAAGTGAAAAGTTTTTTATATAGTATTTAAGTAGATGCTTGACAGTTTAAGTGTATGGCTTGATTTAATTCCATTATATGATACATTTATTATGACAGTGTGATTTTCCATTAGACTTTTTGTATTGTCCTGCTGCATTATTGTGTTACGCTAGGATGTAGGGATGGCAGTTCATGTGCCAATTGTATTTGCATGATAGCAGGATGATGCAAGACTCCATGTTTACAGCTTACAGTACATGATAGGTGCTCATACGCTATATATATATATTTTCTAATTTTTTTTTTAAATAAAATTTATCTTTGTTCTATAAAAAAAAAACCCAGCTCTCTTGGTTTATATACATCTGATCTGATGATGTGAAGTTGAAATTGTAGATGTGGTTTGTACAATGACGGGTGGAATCTACAATTATATGTGTGTGGTCACATGACAGCTCCCCTCGTCTCCAATACAATTTAGGGGTTTGGCTTGAGCACTAGACATCCAGATCCTTTAATAGTCCAGCCAATTGACACAGTTAAATTGCACAGCCAGATCTGATTATGTTTGGGTGCCTTTAGATTGACTTTACCTTACTAGGTGTTGTAGAACTACAAGTGCCAGCAGGATTTACAAAGGATCTGGGAATGATTAAGATCTGATAATGTGAAGTTGAAATTGTAGATGTAGTTGTACAATGACGGATGCAGGGATCTACAAGTATATGTGGTCACATGACAACTCTTCTCGACTCCAATACAATCTAGGGGTTTGGCTTCAGCACTAGGCATCCAGATCCTTTAGACAGGTTAACAAAGGAATTCTGTATGAATAATTCTGTTATGGTCCAGCCAATTGACACAGCTAAATTGCACAGCCAGATCTGATTATTGTACAGCCAGATCTGATTATTGTACAGCCAGATCTGATTATTGTACAGCCAGATCTGATTATTGTAAAGCCAGATCTGATTACGTTTGGGTGCCTTTAGATTGACTTTACTAGGTGTTGTAGAACTACAAGTGCCAGCATGATTTACAAAGGATCTGGGAATGATTAAGACTGGTCATAGATGAGTCATTTTTTTACATCATTCAGAGGGCTGATCACAAATAACCCCCAAAAGGATTCCCCCATCCATACAAACAGGTGGATGGAAGAATCCTCCACTCTGTACTATTGTATTCTGACAGTGGGACTCCTCCTATGTCAGAATACACTGATCAGCATCCACAGCCTATTGGCTGCAGCCACCGATAGACAAAAGATATCCAATGTTCCTGTTTAACAGAAGTTGATTGTTAGATTGACTGCTGAAGAGTGGAAATGACCATTCATCAAAATAGGAGCTTGCGGAGCAATTCATTAATAATGTCACTCCAAATGCATCAAGCAGACGTATGATTTTCAAAAGAAAAGGGACAAAAGTGTGGCCAAACATGCAAAGGGCAAAGCTCAAAGAAGTGCAGGAGATACTTTACAATGTTTGTCATACATAGGGCAGCCCCATTGTCTGTGCTTTGATCGGTGCAACAGACCACCACACAGATGAACAGTATACTCGAGGATGTACGTGGAGATCCATGCAGGTCCATGTAGCTGGCTGCCTGTCATTCATGTAAAAGGCTGCCTGCACAGAACACTTGTGCATCCTGTGTGGGTGAAGACTGCCCCTTCACACAGGTATACAGATTGGTACACCCAGGGCTTTTATTTATTTGCAGCGGGAACGCAGGGGAATGCAGTCCCAGCACCTCCAGCACTGAATGTATGTAATGGCATGGGGTGCTGGGGTATGATGGAGGATCTATTGTTGCTGGATGCTGGGGGATCCATTGTCACTGAAGGGGATCTATTGTTGGTGTGGGGATCTACTGTTGAGGGAGAGGTCTATTGTCTGTTGTTGCTGGCTGCTGGAAAGTATTTTTTTTTTTTTATTTAAAGACATTTCTGATGCATTTTTCATGCATTTTATATGCATTCCTGTTGAAGTCTATGGAGCCAAAATACACTGAAAGGAGCACCTGTGCCTTATCCCAAGCCTTGCAGAAGCAAGTAGCGTAGTTGTGAACAGGCCCCATAGACAATAATGGGATTTCTTTTGTCGTACATTGTTGCCGCCAAATCACAGGTGTTAACAAGGATTAATGCACATCAGTAAGGCTCGGTTCACACCTATGCAGTTTGTGTTTGATCCGTTTCTGCGGTACGCTTTGAGTTTGTGCACATGCGTTTTTGACATGTTTTGCATTTTTTTAACTTGTTGCAGTGTCACCATTGAAGTCTATAGAACCAAAAACGCAACGTTCAGTGTTTAAAAAAGTCCCTGACACTTTCCAAAAAAAACACACCGGGTGAAAACGCGGAGATGTGGACCCATCCCATAGGAAATCATGTTAAATGCACTGCTGTGCGTTTCTGCAATACGCAAAAACAGCGGAAAACGCATAGGTGTAAACCTAGACTAACATATTCTGCATACATTTTCTGCGAGAACCCATCCTTATCTACAAATTCCCCAACCTTTGTCAGCCCAGACTCAGACACGCCTGACTTTTCAACACACAATAACTCATACATGTTTTATTCTCGGGAAGCGTGTTGATGTCTGGGACATCTACTAGAAATGCATTTGCATGTAGTATAAAGAATACACCTGTCAGATGAGCCTATGGGTATGACAAAAGAGAAGGCATGTATTTTTGGTCCTGAGCATTTCTCATGGTAATAGATTAATAGTATAGGTAAACCTTTTCTAGGCTTTCCCCCCCTTTATTTTCACCTGATGATCTGCCCAGTAAGTCTGTTATTTTTCAATTTCCTTTAAAGTATAACTAAAGGCGAAACTAGTTTTTGTTTCATATTGAAAGGAAAGGAATTACAGCACCTGTCAGGTTTTCATTGCTGTCTGTGCCGCTGTTAGGAACATTTACTCCTCTGCTTGTTCTCTTTACTGTTACGGAAAGGGAAAGAAAATCCTAAATTTTGGGTTATCACCAGGACAGGAAGATGGGAAATCTTCCAATGGGGACACTAGTTCTGGTGACAACATGGGATTCCCTCATATTGTAGGGATTTCCTCTCATTTCCTATTTTGGCTAAGGGATAGAAAGTGAATGTAAATCTCCCTAATGGGGCACAGATGGTAAAGAGGAAACAGACAGAGCCGGGACAGCACTGGAATGGTGACATGGAGCCAAGTAAGTATTTAGGGATGGGGGTCGGTAGAACAGGTAGCGGGGCTTTTTTACTTTAATACAATGGGTACATTTGGGTAAAAAAAGTTTTACTTTAAAAGCACTTTAAAATTTTACTAAACCCACAACAGTAAAATCAGTCTGTATATGCAGTAAAGCAGGCTTGTTATACTCACTGTGGAACCTAAAGAGTTAATCCAGAGCCTTGGAGGCAAGCCGCAAATGCTCAGTTTAGTGTGTACTGCTAGAGAGCTTTTTTTTTTTTCTTGGGAGAGTGCATATGATCAGCACAGGGCCAATCAGCACTGTCCAGACAGAGGGTCAGTGGTTATGTAGCCTCATCAGGGGAGAATGAAAACCCCTCCTACAGGCTTTAACCAGTGTTCTGCTGGACACTGATAGAAGTCACAAGACTGCTATATACTGCTGATGAGAAAATGTATTTAGCAGTTTATATTTACTAAAATAATTGCATTTCCATGCTCTGTGTACTGTGGGAGATCAGATATAGTGAATGCTATGGGTTTAGTAACCCTTTAGGTATAAAAATAAAATGAATGCAGCCACCACATTGTGGGATTGTTATGGTGCATTTTTGTTTTAGGGTTTTAAGGGTATGCAAAACAAACATTTCATATTACTGATATGTGCCTGTCAGGGGCGGACTGACAACTCATGGGGCCCCCGGGCAATAGGGGATCATGGGGCCCCTGTGTCCTTGCCCAAACTCAAAAAAGCCTATGAAAAAGGTACCAGGGGCATCTCATGGGGCCCCCTACTGACCCCGGGCCCTCAGGCAGTGCCCGTGTTTCCAAATGGTCAGTCCGCCCCTGGTGCCTGCTGTACCATGTACTTGTATGAAAAAGTATCTTGTTTGTATTGCTTCCTTTGTGCGAAATTCCTGGTGATCTTGCCAATCCCTCTGCTTTCCTATTAAAAACTGACCACACTAGGCATGAAAGCACAGCAAGGTCAGTTCTCTAGCTGTGCTTTCGAACTCAGGCTGCTCTCCTCCAATGATCATACTTCTATTCACATGTCCCCCTTGCATGGCCATTCACTGAGAAGTTGAGTGTACTGCTGTTTCTCCTCCCCAGCTATCTGTTCTCAGCTGCATACGGAGCTTAGAGGGAATGCAATAACTTAAATAACAGGGAAAAATTTTATTTATATTGTTTTTTATATCTATACGCAAATGTTTTGCCTTTTATTTCTGTTTTATACTGAATGGGTTGTTTTACAAGGTGAGGGTTTACACACACTTTTATTTCTATCTAGCTCCTTGTGGGTCATGCATGACCCATCGGCTAACATTGTCAGCTGACAGCCCATCATTCATTTTTGGCAGTACAAACATTGAAGTTGTCAGCTGACAGTCCATCATTCTTTTTGGCAGTACAAAAAAAATTACAGACAGCAATTGGTCTCTTGGCAGACACCCATGTACTTTGATCATTACCTGAAACCAACTGTCAGCGGGTCTTCATTGCAGTTTCTCTCCGCGTCTCTCATGCGTCCCCCCGCCTCCTTCAACATCTGTTTTCACCCTCTAGGAGAGTGTCTACATCTGTCTCATTTTAATATCCACACATTTACCACAACACAGTAAATCACATCTGTTTACCACAATTAGGTGACAACAAACAAATATTTTACTAAGTGTGATTCCTTTGATTACTCTTCACAGCGGGGTGCAGCTGCCACATGTCTATCAGTGCTGAAAATAAACCAACGTTGGCGCTCAGAATTCCTCGGCTCCGGCTGAAAGTTTGAAAAACGTTGCTTTATATAATAATAGTAGCAATGACATAAATAAAGTGTCATTCTGCGCAGTTTTATGTCTGTATTGTTCATTTTCTGCATTCTCCGCGTAGGCGGTGTTTATTCCAACTCTCTATACATATTTTGGTCAAATGTTCGGGAATAATAGATTTCGCTGGTTCACAATAAGGTCAAAAGTGGACAACAGATAATAATTGTGTAATATTTTTGATCAATGTAGTTAAAAATGTAAATTAGCTTGGACTTCATTCACATATCGCTTAGCGGGAAAACGGTTTTGCACATAGTTTTCCACTTGTCGCACATAGGGCAGCCCAGTTACTTGAATGGGCTGCCCTATGCACCATTTTTCGTATGGAAGAAGCTCAGGGGCCAAATATTGGCCCTGATTCAGGAGTGATTTTACACACTTGTTTTGTCACGTGACAATCATGCCAAAATTGCACCTTGTTTGGGCTGACATGCACTCAAACATGTGTTACTTGTTGTGCCGCAATTTGGAATTGTGAGTAAAGTTGTGCCGATCCTGCCTGTGATTCTTTAAAGCAGGGATGTCAAACTGGCGGCCCTTTAGCTGTTGTGAAACTACAAGTCCCATCATGCTTCGGCCTTTGGGAGTCATGCTTGTAACTGTCAATCTTGCAATGCCTCATGGGACTTGTAGTTTGGCAACAGCTGGAGAGGGCAGCCAGTTTGACACCCATGCTTTAAAGCATTACTAAACCCACAACAGTTAACTCAGTCTGTATATGTAGTAAAGCATGCTTGTTATACTCACTGTGGAACGTAAGGGGTCCTCTTTATTGTGTAAAAAGGGTGTCTGATCCTGTCTTCTCTGATCCTCTCCTTCTTCCACAGTCCCCAATCCATTTGCTGATAAAACATATGCTCAGTTTGGTGTGTATTGCTAGAGAGTTTTTTTTCTTTTTCTTGGGAGGGTGCATGTGATCAGCACAGTACCAATCAGCACTGTCCAGACAGAGGTCAGGGGTCTCATAGGGAGAGGAGAATGAAAACTCGTCCTACAAGCTTTAAACAGTGCTCAGCTGGACACTGATAGAAGTCACAAACAGGGGCGGACTGACAACTCATGGGGCCCACGGGCAATAGGGGATCATGGGTCCCCTGTGTCCTTGCCCAAACTCAAAAAAGCCTATGAAAAAGGTACTAGGGGCATCTCATGGGGCGCCCTACTGACCCCGGGCCCTCGGGCAGTGCCTGATTTTCCAAATGGTCAGTCTGCCCCTGGTCACAAGACTGCTATATACTGCTGATGAGAAAAGGTATTTAGCGGTTTGTATTTACTAAAATAATTGCATTCTCATGTTCTGTGTACTGTGGGAGACCAGATATAGTGAATGCAGGGTCCTGGGTTTAGTAAGACTTTAACACCCAAGTGTGAACATGGCCTTATATACCTTTAAAGTGTATCTAAACCCAAAAAAGTAATATATTGCAGCTTACCAGTTCTTGGATGAGTTCTGTTATTCTTCAGGCTTTTTGTTGTGAATTTTTACCTGGTGATTCTCCCAGTAACTCACTTCCTGTCTTAGGGTGACAACGCTGGCTTACTGTATTTATAGGCAAGCAGTGTTGTCACCCTGAGCTGCTCTACTGTTTTGGATTTCAAAACACACACCTTTCCTTAGCTCCATTACATAATGGGGTGTTATTTTGTAGTTCACAGAAGATAGCTGGGAAGGTTGACTATATTGTTCAAGATATCAGTTTAGATCTCAGGAAGTGAAAATGGAGTTGGATTTGTGGAAAGATCAACACATAGTTTCTGTACTCACTATAAGTGCTCATTTATGCATGCAGCAAAAGCAGGCAGTGGAGTCAGTTTTATAGCAGACCGACCCATCTAAACACAGAAATGCAGCCACTCAGGGCTGTACACATGCATCACAGCTGCATCAAATATGAAATGTTATGCCACATTCAACAGGCAGTACCACCACCAAATATAACCTATTCAAGTGAATGTAGACTTGACGCAACAGGCCCTGTAATCATGTGCAAGGATCGTGGTTGTGGTACAGTGCGTCAGAATTTTGAGGGTCAAAAGAACCAGTAAGGAGGTGACATATTGTCTTCTTACCACCTGTCAAATGCCTTCTGAAAAGTGATCCACTGCAGATTACTTGCCAGAGGGGTGACATTAAAAGCTGCATGTATGAACGACCCCTAAATGTTCTTAGCTTGAAAAATGAAAAACGAATACAGCCACTGCATCTGATGCATGGCAAGCTGTAATATGTAACATTTCTATTACTTTTGTACAACTCTGCATCCTTTAGCCCTGGTTCACACTGATGTGGTGCGGAACTCGCAGTGTTTTCTGTGTGAATTCCGCACCACATCAGAATCGCACCCCGTTCATGCAAACCGCTGCAGGTGTGTATGTTAAGTTAACAACACCCCGAAAGCGGTCCTCAAAACGCAGTGTGATGTGCGGAATCGGATCACATAGGTGTGAATACCCATGCGATCCGATTCTAGTGTGGACCGAAAAAAGGGTCCTGCACCATTTTGATGCGGATGAGGTGCGATTAGAGCCATACAAAATGTATGGCACCAATCACACCGCACACAAATCGCATGTGATTTGCACAGGAATGCAGTGCGGTTCCTGTGCGAATCACATGCGATATACCACACTGTATATATGTGAACCCAGGCTGAAGAACCGTACACACCATATCTTTGTGTAGATCAACACGCGTTCAATGCAAGGGCACATAAAAAAAACAACAGTATTTCTGTGTGCCCTGTTGTCACCATAATACAGCGTTGAGGTGCGTTGCAGTACTATGCATAAAGATGCAGCATGTCTACATTTTTAAGAAAGCAATGCACGGCATTGGATGTCACTGCAGTATGTCACAATAGGTTGAAATGCAGAGTTGAATGAAGTGCCATGTTGTTAAATTAAATGACACTTAAAAAAAAGAGTAAAGAATACTATGCATTGTAACAATGCGTCCATCGTAACTCACCGCCCTTACACAATACACACTAAGGTGCTCCTTATACCCTGCAGGCTGGTGTAAAGAAGCTCTAAGTGAAAGTCTAAACAAAATCTTTTTTTTTTTTAGTTTTGGACAGAATGGGGTTAGAAGTTTGAAATTTTGTTTCCTGTCTGTGACTATAGAGTATTATACTCTCACCTCTTCAGAGGCCCATGTCTCCAGTGGCCCATTCTGACCTTCATCAGAATCTTCAGCATTTGGCAGTTCATGTAGTGTGGGATGCCTGTGTTCTGTGCTGTTCTTCTCATAATTGTTATTTAACTGTGCATTGTATCACCAATTCTTATTTCACCATGTTTGTTTCTATGTCTTGATCTGTTGCTGCCATCTGCTGGCCAGAATTTGCATGCTGCATGCCTCTGTTCTTGCTAGTAAAGTTTTTTCTCTGCTGGGCGTGGTTTTAGGCAAGCCTTGGTTCTGGCCACTTCCTGCAGCCATTTTATGTGCTTTATAGCTGTGTGACAGGACATTCAATACCCTGGGCTTGTGAAGGCATCAGTTTTTGACCAGCAGTTAGCCTCAGGAAAGCTATCACAGGACAGCATCAATACCTCTACTACATTACAGTATTGTATCACTGCTTGTCGCTGTATTTGGACCAAATAAACCCACGCTGATTTCATTCCCGTGTATATGTTTGGATCCGTCTAACCTGAGCATCTGCCGAACCAGTCTGCTCCACTGCTTGGATACGAAGGTAGGAAGTTACACAGCCATTATCAGTTATACCTTTCATTTGCCTTCATGTGGGGACAGAACATGTTCCTCGCCACATGATGTGGCTCCATCCTTCAAACCCTACATCACTGCTGTGTCCTGTACTGACATTCTGTAGGAATCAGCATGTTGGGTAGGGGTAGTGTGGTGTGGCAGGCAGTCCCCTTTTGCAATAAATGATGCATTATAAAAGAAGTTCAGCAGTACAACCCTACTGGTGGGAAGGCTTACCCATCCAGTACCACTTATGACAGTGCAACAGAGAGACAGAGGTTTGAAGGCTCAAGGATGCCAAAAGAATCTGCCACGAAGAGCGGAGTGCTGCCTGGCCAGTCTGACCCAAAGTGGAAGCTTCTTGAGAAGGTAGATGTAGTCCCTGCTCTCTCCCTACTCCACTGGAACCTTTTCCTATTGCTAGCACTGTCCCTGGCAGATGAGGATCCTGTCCCGACACTTGCCACGTCAGAGTCTTAAAGGAGGAGTAGGGTCAAAGCTTTTTTGGCTATACTTCTATGGATTACAGGAGTGCAGTTCATTCTGCAACGCTGTGACCTATTTTCAGCTGACAGTGGGCTAAAGCCAGCTGTGGGCTGATGTCACAAGGTCAGTCTAGGCTCTGAAAAGATTCTGACCATTTGGTCGAGATCCACCCGGAAACCTGGACCGGCTCCTGGCTCAGCCTCACAGCGATCAAGAGCCTGAGCTAGCCCCTCCCTCACCCTCCACAGCCCAGTGCAGAGGAGAGTGCTGGAGACTGACAGTCATGGCTCTCTTCTCAGAGTGGAGGGGAGAACTGAGCGATCAGCAGTGTTTGATCGCTCGGGTTCTCAGTGCAGAGCCAGCTCGGGACAAATGCAGCATCGATCACCTAGGTGAGCATAAATGTTTATGTTTTTACAAGTCCATATTTCTCTTTTAAATAGACTCTGCCTGACCCAAGATGGCCACCAGAGTCAAATAAGACATGAGCATCTAATCGAATCACTGTCCCGTGTGACTGAGGAAACCATAGAGAAACCCAGATTTTCTAAACTTCCTCTCCAACCTGCATTGCTGCTGTGGTTGAGCGCCACCTACAGTGTAGACTACAGACTGCACCAGCTTACAAGTGGATTGAACCCCAATTAGGAACACAGACATCCAACACTCCTGGAAATGCAACACAGGGATCCAAGACGTCTGGAAGTATCAAATGCTGAAGATTATGATGAAGGCTGCTTCACTGGAACAGAGGAAAAGAAGATAACATGAGCCACCTTAGAGGTGACTGTAATAGCTCTTATATAGTTACACAGTTAGTCTGGCTGAAAAAAGACAAAATCCATTCAGTTCAACCATTAAAAAAAAAAAAAAAAAAGTTATAATCCTATACCCACAGTTGGTCCAGAGGAAGGCAAAAAACCCAGCAAAGCATGAAGCATTTGCTCCTGCAGGGGAAAAAATTCCTTCCTGATCCCCCAAGAGGAAATCGGATATTCCCTGGATCAACTTTACCTATAAATGTTAATATCCAGTTATATTCTGTGTATCCAAGAAAGAATCCAGGCCTTTTTTAAAGCAATCCACTGAGCTGGCCAGAACCAACTCTTGAGGGAGTCTATTCCATATTTTCACAGCTCTCACTGTGAAGAAACCTTTCCATGTTTAGAGATTAAGTATCTTTTCCTCCAGACGTAAAAGAGTGCCCCCTTGTCCTCTGTGATGACCTCAAGGTGAATAACTCCACACCGAGTTCACTATATGAACCACTGATGTATTATACATGGTGAGCATATCCCCCTTAATCTCCTCTTATCAAGAGAGAATACATTCAGTTGCAGGAAACCTCCAATGGGACATGAAAGGGTTACTTTGCAAAAAAATCAGCAGAGACAGCTTAAATATACAGTATGTACTGTATCTTCATGGGTTGACATTGAGGAATGACTTGCATTCCTGCCAAAAAGGTCATTGAGAACGCCAGTAAAGTAGTGACCAGGGGCGACCTGACCATTCGAACACTCGGGCACTGCCCGAGGGCCGGGGTCAGTAGGGGACCCCATGAGATGCCCCTGGTACCTTTCATAGGCTTTTTTAGGTGTGGTTTGAGTGTGGGAATGGACACAGGGGCCCCATGATCCCCTATTGCCCGGGGGCCCCATGAGTTGTTAGTCCGCCCCTGGTAGTGACCATCCCTAACATGACATAACATATGATAAATAGTTTGTTAGCATATAGAAGATACATTTGCTTAGTAATACACTCCTGCGGTAGTGACTTGGTTATTTCCTGGTGAATTTTCTAACACAGTAAATAATGGTACAGTCAATGTCAGCGAATGAAGGGACAGTCAATATATTTATTTATTTATTTATTTTTTATTTATCGAGTTTATATAGCGCCAAAGGGTTTGCTCAGCGCTGTACAATAGAGGGGGGACAATACATGAAACAGTACAGTAACATCAAACAGCACACAAGGGGTAGAGGGCCCTACTCTTTCGAGCTTACAATCTAGGAGGGAGGGGGTAGAGGTACAGGAGGAAATGGCTGTGGGGGATGGAGTGGTAGGAGGAGGGAAGGGCAGCGGCTGTTAGGTGAGGGTGGGGGTAGGCTTCCCTGAAGAGGTGGGTTTTCAGGGAGCGCCTGAAGGTGAGGAGGGAAGGTGACAGTCTGATGGATTGGGGTAGTGAGTTCCAGAGGATGGGGGAGGACCTGGAGAAGTCTTGCAGTCGTGCGTAGACCAGGGAGCAAGATAGAAGGAGGTCCTGTGAAGAGCGAAGGGTACGGGTAGGGTGGTACTTGGGAATCAGGTCGGTGAGGTAGTTAGGGGCAGTGTTGTGTGAATGGCTTTATAGGTCAGAGTGAGCAGTTTGAATTTAATGCGTTGGGCAATGGGGAGCCAGTGGAGGGAGAGGCAGAGGGGGGTGGCAGAGGTGGAGCGGCTGGTGAGGTGGATGAGTCTGGCAGCTGAGTTCAGGATGGTCTGAAGCGGGAGAGTTTGCACTGGGGTAGGCCGATGAGGAGGGAGTTGCAGTAGTCAAGGCGTGAGATAATCAGGGAGTGAACGAGTAGTTTAGTGGTGTCTGGGGTAAGGAAGGAGCGTATTTTGGCGATGTTGCGAAGGTGGAGCCTGCATGTATATATATATATATCTATATATAGTATATAGTTGTATATAATATTTTACTGTTGTATAGTAAATCATATGCAACCAATTTTTTTATTTTTCGATAGACTGTGTAAAAGTCAAAACTTCTGTCACATTTTTATTTCTGTCTCAGTTCTCATTAGTAATCTCTCTCCTGTCCCAGTGACACCAGAATGAGAAATGAGAGGTTAATGAAAACCTGATGTTCTATCCCCTTCCTATGCTATTACAAAAAGTGTTTTTGCTCCTGTTCCTGTCCCCTTTAAATAGAGATATTCCACCAAGCTGAAGTTTAGGAAGACTGTACAAATGTGTTACTAATACAAATGGGCTGTTAAAATGATTTACTACTAGACCTTTGGGTCAAATTCCAATTGTATTTACTAAACAAAAAGTTGGAGTGTAATGCTGACGTTAAGGGATGAATTTTTTTTTACTTCAAGCTTGGATCAATGTAATTATGTATGTGTCATATCTATAGGGTCCCCGTAGAAGCTAGCAATTTCTGTTGTAGGCGCTGCAACTACAGTGATCTCCACTAGTTTCTAGGTCCTGTGCCAAGCGGCTGCTCTGTTGCATTAGATGTTCCACTTGAATCTGAAGTTCAGGTATGGCAATATTTAGATAGTCACATTGGCCAAGCTTCGACCAATGTTCAATAACTATAAATGTGTGATACCTGTGGGACCCCCGTGGAAGTGGCAAATTGATGTAGAAAGCACCACTAATATAGTGATAGCTTCTAGGTCCTGTATCAATCAGCTGCCCTGCTGCATAGTGAACACAGGAGCTCTCTGATTGGATGAGCTGGCGATTGTGATGTCACTTTCCCACCTTTCCACCTTGTCCAATCACAGAACACTTAGCATTCATTGAGAAAATGTAAAGTGTTCCCTGAATGGTGCCCATGTTGTGCCACCTCTTGTTCACAATGCAGCAGGGCAGATGCTTGGCACGGAACCTGGAAACTAGTGGAGATCATTGTAGTAGCAGTTAATACAACAGCAATTTCCAGCTTCCATGAAGATCCCACAGGTATAGCACATGTATAGTTACATTAGTCCAAGCTGGACCAATATAACCAATGCTTCTTTTCAGCGAGAATGGGGGGAACGCAGTTCCGTGCCTCCAGCACTGAATGCATGTAATGGCAAGAGGTGCTGGGGTGTGGCGGGTCCATTGATTTTGGCTGCTGGGGGACTATTGTCACTGGAGGGGATCTATTTTTGCATGAGGGTATATTGTTCCTGGGGTGGGGGGGTCTTATGTCGCTGGGGGTCAAATGTTGCTGAGAGAGATCCACTGTTGAGGGAAAGGTCTTCTGTTGCTAGCTGCTGGAGGATGTATTAATGCTGGCGGCTGTAAGACATGTTGTGGCAGGGGGTCTAATGTTGCTGGAGTGGTATTTTGCTGTGGGGGTCCATTGTTGTTTGGGGGGGTCTGAAAAGGGGTGGTACTGGGAGGTGAGTGGGGATGAAACCAAGGAATGGTGCTCAGAGGTACGTAGAGGGCAAAGAAAAGGGGGGGGGGGTTCCTGCACCTATTTTCTGAGAAAAAAAAGCCTCAATATAACTATGTAAGAATTGCCATATCTGAATTCAGCTTTAAGTTTTTCTCTTGGCACATTCCAGTGTGATGTTTGTCCAGTCAAGTATGGTTTTCTTCAAGTCTCAATCTTGGGTCCCTTACTTTTTACATTTACATGATTCCACTTGGCCAACTGCTTAGCTCACATGGGCTCAATTATCACTTCTATGCTGATGACACTCAGATATACATCACACTAAACGTAATTCTACTGCCTCTCTCCTATCTAACTGTATTTGTGATATGAAAGCTTGGATGGCACACAATTTCCTTCTATTAAACTGTGACAAGACTAAAGTCATGCTTTATGGCACCCGCCATCAATTATGTAAGGCCAGTCCTGGTTGCCTATCTATCATTGGCACTGCACTTGAGCTTAAGTCTAAATTAAAAAATCTAGAGGTGATATTTGATGCTAGTTTAACCTTTGATCCACATGAACAAAATGTTCTCAGAACATTTTTTTCCACTGAAGAAACATTGCTCCGCTGCGTCCTATGCTATCATGCATTGTCGCTGAAAAGCTGATCCACACATTTGTGTTCTACTTGACTACTGCAATGCTCTACTCATTGGTGTACCTAAATCCATAATTAATCAACTTCAATATGTACAAAATTCTGCAGCCAGTATCCTGTCTAGATCAGGTACTGGTGACTATATTACCCTATCCTGGAGCAAATGCCCTGGCTACCCGTCAGGTTTCACAAAGACTTTAAGGCCCTCTTGCTCACCTATAAGGCTCTACATCTCCCCCTCTTGACCGCTGCTCCTCAAATTCTGGCCTTCTATGTGCCCCCCCCCCCCCAATCACCTAAACTTGATGGGAGACAGAGCCTTCTCCTACTATGCTCCAAAACTCTGGAATTCACTTCCAAAGAACATCAGAGAATCATCTTCTGTAAGTTCATTAAAATCAAATCGAAAAATATTTTTCTTTAGACAAGCTTTCATGTACTTGCCCCGTTTTTCCTTGATTTTATCCTGTGTATTTCTTGGTAAATCACTTTGAGAAGCTACCTTTAAAGGCACTATATAAAATAAAGTTTATTATTATTAAGTGGAATATGTAATGCAGCAGGAAAGCCGCTTGGCACAGGACCCAGAAGCTAGTGGAGATCATTGTAGTAGGGGTGCCTACAACAGAAATTTCTAGCTTTTATGGGGATCCCAATCCCATAGATATGACACATACATAATTGGTCCAAGCTTGATGTAAAAATTTACATCCCCTAACTTCAGCACTCCAACATTTTCTTTAATAAATACCATTGGAATTGGCTCTAAATGTCTAGCGATACATCATTTTTATAGTCAATTTGTATTAGTAACACATTTGTCCAGTCCTCCTTTTATCTGTTATCGCTTCCTCTGTTTAAATGATGATGTATTTGGATATTCACTGCACTTTCTGTCTACTCAATCACAATAGTCAGATGGGCTTGTTAACCTTTGCTCTCTGGAGTATTCTAAAGGGCACTCGTCAAAATGGCTGTTATCTGCCAGAGCTGGGATTCCTATAGAGTACTGGAGGCTGCAACAGCCTGACTTCTGGAATGAGGCAGAGTACATCTCTGCAGTCACATTACTACCTCCAAGAGCTAAGATCTGACTCCAGTGCTGGGTGGGAGCCAAGTATTAGCCCCTTGGGCAGGTTCCTTGGATGTATGGTTTTGCTTGTAGAATCTTTATTATTAGTAGAACAATTTAAAACATATTTCAAAGACATATATATTTTTTAAAAATGTTATAGAATTAGAAAAATCTATAAATTGGTTTAAAAATATATAAACCTAAAGTGGTATTGAACCCCAAACCAAAGATGTGATTTATTGCAGCTTACCAATCGTTAGATGTGGTAGCTGTATTAGTTTTCTTTTTTTAGGCTTTCCCCCTCTGTTTTCACCTGGTGATCTGGCCAGTAACACACCTCCTTTATTAGAGTGCCCCCAGTCTGAAAGAAGGAGCAAGGGGGGCACCTTTTTAAAGCAGCATTGTCAGTTTGGGGGAGGGGGAGTGATAGATGAACTAACAGATTTCAATCCACGAACAAATAAAGTCAAACTTCAGCTTAAACTTTATAAGCAGTTACAGCAAACAGTTTTTTTTCTTTTAGAATAAAGGTTTTACATAAATATTTAAAAGCTGAGCATTGTAATCAGTGGTAAGCCTACTTTCAAGAATCAGTGGATTTGGCTACCAACAGTTACCTGCGTTTAGACATACATCTATGCAGGTAACAGTTGGGTGTGCAGATCCATGTGAACAGCAGCAGCTTCTCTCAGCCTGTCATTGCTTTGTAAAGGCTGAGCGGCTGTTCTCATACACCTGAGATCCCAGCTGAATTGGCTGCTTCTTGCCACAGGTATCCGCTGTACGCAGATGGAAGGAAACCTTCTAGTTTTGTTTTAAAGTGACAGTATGGTTGCTGGGAAAATG